TTTTTTTTTTTTTTTTTTTTTTTTTTTTTTTTTTTTTTTTTTGTCAATCCAGTCTCGTACCTCGAAATATATTCGCACGTGCTATCGCACTCGCACTTATTGTAGGTACGTTAGTTGTATATTTGCACTTTCCTTCTTCCTTTCTCTCGTACACTGGCGCAAAGAAAGACAAAGAGAGAGAGAGAGACAGAGAGAGAGAGGTCTTTGTTAAAAGCGACGTTGCATACGTTAATCTCTGGAAGTCTCTCTTCCCGCGGGTAATCCTAGACGTCGGACCGACGATAAATGGGTCACCAGACGACGACTGTATCGTCAGTCTGGCATCCGATTACCACTCACATCGCTTACCAAGCGTGAACACGACGAAAATCTTACCTCCCTCGCTTCTCTTCCACCCTTCCTCCCTCTCTCTCTCTCTCTCTCTCTCTCTCTCGCGGCTCCCTTTTCAAGATTCGCGTTTCTTTCAACGAAAGTAGCTCGATCAACTTTGTTTCTCTTCATCATCATCGTCGTCATCTTCTTCTTCTTCTTATGAATACACTCTCTTTATTCATTTTAATTATTTCAGAAAATATATGATTACGCGCTATCGACAAATATTCTATCTTGACATTTGGAATTTTTTTTGTCAACGATGTCGCCAGAGGCATTTATTACGAGCATTGTATAAGATCGCTCTGAGTGATTCTATTAAAAAAAAGGAAAAAAACACGTCGTCCATTATTAGGAGAGGAAGAGGAGGAAGAGGAGGAGGAGGAGGAGGAGGAGTATTGGTGAAATAAGAATCGTTCAGAAGAGTTGGGCAAAAAAAAATCGATTGAAGCCAAAAAAAAGAAAGAAAGAGAGAGAGAGAGAGAGAGAAAGTAGAAGAAGAAGAAGAAGAAGAGGAAGATGCAAAAGAACAAAGAGAACGATCGATGATCTATTGAAACGTTTTTTTATTAGCGCAACTATAATACGTGCATTATGCGCGTGTCCGCGAAGCAGTAAAAAGATAAAGAGAAAAAAAAGAAAAACAGGCAAGAAATCGTTAACCTATTGGCTTATTTAGAGACACGTTGCAGGCACGTACTTGTGACCTTAACCAACTCCGGGCGAATAGCTTTGAACGCGAGCGTCGTGATTATTGGGTTCCGCGATTGATAATACTCCTCTCTCGGTGGTACCGTAGCATTTGCCGCCAAGTAGCACACGGAGACTCTCTTTGATGGCTTCAAAGACGGTTGTGTTCCTTTGCAATCACTGGCAAATGTTACGGGAATCCTTTCTTCGTTTGCATTATCTTACGTCAGCGTCAGGAATCGAACAGAGAAAGAGAATAAGACACTGAGAAAGATATATATAGATAGATAGATAGATAAAGAAAGAGAGAGAGAGAGATAGTCAAATAGAGACAGAGACGGAGACAGGTAAAAAAGAAAATAGAGACCACAATCAAAGTATTTGTTGAATGCGCTAGATCCTTTCAGGATCAATTTTCGAGTTCCCATTGCGTTTCTATAAATCTTATATTTTTCATTCATTTTCTTTTCTTTTCTTTTCTTTTTGTTGTTTTTTTTTTTTTTGTTTATTCATATTTATTCGAAATCCAGGTCCGCGTAAGTGTTAATACTAGTTTCTAGTTAGGTATTCCAACTTTGGATATAATCGAGTCGAATATCGGATAGATGCAACGTGTTAAGAGGAATATTTTGATTTATAGATCGGTTAGTTTCTGATCGTTGTTATTCAGGATTAACGCGTGGAGAATCTTCCGCGAATTCAACTATGACATCCGTGACGACGCATATGAAAGCGTTAATTCGATCGGTTGCATCTCGAAATTTTATAGTTCTGCTATATATATATGTTACCGTCAAAGCCAGAAATCAGTCATTGCTAGTAAATCCTCGGCATTGTTATCAATGCAAAGTGCCTTCCGACGAAGTCGGAAATAAGACTTTTTACAGAGTTTTTCCTAGGCATCGAACATAATACTTTGATATTCTATAAAATATCAAATTACTATTTAAACAACGTTGTAAAGAATACATTCATGGGCACAGGCACACACAGCCATACGCAACATATGTTACGCGTAGAATACCATATCGAGTTTTAAATTTAGCATGTAAACTTCATTAAATGTTAGAGAATGCAATGCTATAAATTATGCATCTTTGCAATTTCTTTGAAAAATTTTGGTAAAT